AAAATGTTGAGTTTATTGTGCATACAAAAGAACAGTTCACAAGCTGGGAGACTTCAAAACTAGCAAGAAGTTCAAACAAAAAATGGCAAGAAGATCAGAGGCATATCATTACAAGATGGCTTATAACATGAGACTGATAACTTTGCAATGATGCATTATTACAATGGGTGTTTCACAGGAATTGGTTAAAAGTGATTATCTTAGGGGCACCTGGGTGGCTCAGTTGGTTAAATGTCTGACTCTTGATATTGGCTTAGGTCATGATCTCAGTGTTGTGTGATGGAGCCCTGCATCTGGCTCCGTGCTCAGCTTGTAGGCTGCTTAGGATTCTCTCGGGGCGCCTGGGTGGCTCAGTCATTAAGTGTCTGCCTTCGGCTCATGTCATGATCCAAGGGTCCTGGGATCGAGCCCCGCGTCAGGCTCCCGAACGGGCAGCCTGCTTCTCCCTCTCCAACTCCCTCTGATTGTGTTCCCTCTCTCACTGTGTCTGTCTCTTTTGAATAAATAAATAAAATCTTAAAAAAAAAAAAAGAATTCTCTCTCTCCCCCTCCCCCAGCTTGCACACGTGCACTCCCTCTCTCTAAAATAAAAAAAAAGTGATTATCTTACACTGTTTTCGTAAAACAATTTAAGTTTTGTTTATGATTATCAGAGGCATTTACAAGACAGAGCCTAAACTAAATTTTGCTCACATTCATGAAATAAGCTAGGTTAAGTTTTGCTTACATGGCTTACCGGTTTTATCTGCCTGGGGGATTTTTAAGCCTCGTCTCCATTTTATTTTAACAGACCCAATTCGACCTACAAAGCCCTTCCTTATTCCCTCAGCCAAAAGTAATTATTTAGTGGTTCTCTTTAGCAAAAGATAACTGGTACCACAGTAGGGGAAAATCTCAAAGAGAATCTACTTAAAACAGGAACCAAAATTCCATAGTTAAGAAGGATAAAAGAACTGACTGTAGGGACAGCCAATTCAGGACAAAGCTAAAACAAACTAAAAAACATACACACAGATCATAATATAATAGAAAATAATTATACAAAAGTATTATTATTTAACATAAAAATATGAAAGACAAGTATCTGCTTGAAAATATATATTCCATTATTTATCTTTAGGTTACCTATACGCCATTATTTAAATAGGACTAGTTAACATTAACAGTTAGTAATAATAGGACTGATTAAATAATGTATGAAAAACATGTAACAATATTTTTATGCCTTTGTCTCCTCTGATACAATAATTAACTTTTTTTAAAACAATTATTTAAATTTTAAAGGCTATATTAATCTTTAGTCTTAAGATGTAAAATACGTGACTTTTTTCTTTCAAAAAAGATTTATTTATTTATCCTAGAGAGAAAGAGAGAGAGTATGAGTGGGGGAAGGGGTAGAGGGAGAAGAGAGAGAAAGGGAAGCCCAAGCAGACTCCGCACTGAGCATGGAGCCCGACTCTGGACTTGATCCCAAAACCCATGAGATCATGACTAGAGCCGAAACCAATAGTTGGACAGTTAACCAACTGAGTCACCCAGGTACCCACAAAATATGTGACTTTTTAAAAGAACATAAATACAATAAGATGAACTAAACAGATGTTGCTATATTTATTAAAAATGACAATGGCATGTTTCTTTCTGTCTCATAATACAGGATATTTTTACTCTTTCTGTTTCCTTTTCCAATAATACTTCTGTGAACTGCCTGCGGCCTTTAGGACATCCTTCTTTTCTTTTATGTAGCAGTAAAACTGAATATAGTCAAATATAAATTTCTCTTTGACTTGCAACTGTGCTCTTACCAAGCCCACATTACATTGATTGCTGGTGTCAGTCCAATGCAATAACATCAACTGAAACAGCCTCTCAACACAAACATTTGAGCATGGAATACTTTGGATTTTACTTAGGAGCAACAACAGGTTTTTAGAGTTGTAGGAATTTGTTTCCAGCTGTCCAAAAATGCCCATCCATTCTTTATCTATAGGCTTTTTTTGGTAGACCAGCTGTTTGTCAATCAGGTCCTTTGCATCTATAAATTCATTGGAGAGGTTGTCCGTGTCTCAAATGTCCATCATTTTTATTTTTTTTATTTTTTTTAAAGATTTTATTTATTTATTTGAGAGAGAGAGAATGAGAGAGAGAGAGCATGAGGGGGGGAGGGTCAGAGGGAGAAGCAGACTCCCCGCCGAGCAGGGAGCCCGATGCGGGACTCGATCCCGGGACTCCAGGATCATGACCTGAGCCGAAGGCAGTCGCTTAACCAACTGAGCCACCCAGGCGCCCATCAAATGTCCATCATTTTTAAACATTCTGAAGCACACTGGATGTCACTGTAAGTTAAACCTCTCTTTCTCAGGGAAAATGGTTTTCAAACACAGACATAATTTGATTGTGAAATTGAAACTGGATTCCAAGTAAGTTATCATTCTAGGAAAGAAATGGAGAAAGTCTTGTTTAATTTAATTTGGTTGCCCTTTTCTGGTGACATTTTATTCAGTTCTGAAGCAGTCTTCTTTCCAAAAGAGTCATTTCTTCACTGTATGAGTTTTTGTTGCAACTTATACATAACATCAAATAACCCAGGTGTGGGCAGTTTATCTTTTTCTAGGCTCCTGAGAGTTTCTTCAAAGATCAGCAAGCAGGTCTGGAGAAACAGCAGATAAATTTCTGTTGTAGTCTAATCCTTTTCTTCATTCTCATCTTCAGTGTATTTCCAAATTAGAGAAGGACATTCATCTTTTCCCACACTTTGAAAATAGGATTTTATGGTTGGCCAACATTTTAACATCTTTTTTATGGCTGGCAAGTGACAACCATCTTGTAGGCATATGTCTGAGGTGTCTATCTCCTTCCATTTCTAAAAGTCAAAAGTCTCATTAAGTGTTTCTGTGTGTTTTAAGGAAACTGAAGTCACCAAAACTTTCATTATGAAAGCCTCAATGTCCAAGAAAGCAAATCACATCCCTTTTTAGCAGTCTGTGGTGTGCAAGGTGTGCCGGACATTTAGCAGCTCTCATTTTCTTTGGTAAGAAGTTGATAGACTGAATGGAATTTGCTGAAATTTACATCTGTACTACCCACCGAATATACAGATAGGTGAGCCAGATCTAGTTTGTATTGCTATTGTATCGTTTGCTTGATCTCTTGTTTAATGTGTTCTAAGGTTTCATTAAAATCTTCATAGCCATCAAGAAGACGATTTGAAACTTCATTTTTCAGATCAAAGTACTTAAGAGCTAGGGCGAACATTTTTGATTGCCATAATACAACACATCACTTGATATACTGCAGAAGGCACGATTATTGGTAAGATCTGACAGAATCAGCTCTACACTGTAAGAGGCCAATACAACTGTGATCAAAATTTCCCCTTTTGTTCGCCCATAGGACATTTTAGTTGCAACCTCTGAATCAGGAAATGTAACTTTACCCAGTTTCAAAGAGCAATCAAGGGAACGAAAAGATAACGTAGGTTCAATCGTGTGGTATGCCCACACTAATTCAGCAGTTGCTCTTTTTTTTTTTTTTAAGAGAGCGCTAGCACCTGTGGGGGGGGGGGTGATGGGCAAAGAGATCATCTTAAGCAGGCTCCACATCCAGTGCAGAACCCAACTCTTGGTCCTGAGATCATGACCTGAGCCAAAATCAAGAGTCAGGTGCTTAACCGACTGAGCCACCCAGGTGCCCTGCGGCTGCTGTTTTTTGATTGAACACTGGTGTCTTTTTGGGAGATGAAGACACTTTTCATTGATTCAAAAGTACTTGCTTGTCTCATTCCAGACTTGTGGTACTCAGTCTCTTCATGTTTTCATATCCCCTTCTCTGCCATGCCCAACCCCAAATTCTTTTCTGCAAATTGTGCAGTATGCTCTCTTTGGATCATTTGCCTCCCTAATCCAGTTGTATGTGTCCTTCCAACTGTCATTAAAATAACACAGCCATTTAGTCTTCTTTTTTTGGTATTGTCTGGGTCGTGCTGGCGTTGACACTGTACTCACTCTCATTTTCATTATCTCAATTCTTAGAAAGCACAGTCACAATATGCACAAAATTAAAAATTAAATTAGCGCTATCTCCCTCCAAAGCACAAGGGTTAACACTCATGATTAGAATTTAAATTGCTCTGAGAGAATGCTACAATAGATACATTATTGTGAACCACAAATCATGGCTGCCAGTGTCAGTGGTCAACAGAAGGCAGATAATCACCCGATTCATGTGTCACTAAAAACGGTGTTGTCTTCCTTTTGTGGTGGGGGGGCATAATACGGGTTTTGTATCTCCTCCCCTCTTCCAATCTATGGCAGTCATTGTTAAAACCAGGACTTTTTACATCCAGGAAGGGTTTCTTGGAACATAGGACTTTCAGGGCTAGTCCCAATCTGGTGTGGTTGGTCACCAAAAATAGAGTTGATTACTCTCCCATTTCCATGAGTGAGAGCTTGTCTAGTATTTTCAGATCTGCTATTTTGACATTAACAAATTATATTTAGCTAGACTTTCTGAGAGGTGTATTCTAAGGTAAACCAAATAAAAACAGTTAACCAGATTTTTCTGGCAACAGTTTTTTTTGTTTTTTGGAAGGTTCTGTTTGAATAAATCTGGCTTATCTAGAACTTTGCATTATTTGGTATAGCTGTTCCAAAATTCCATTCTCTAGCTGCAAGAACAATATTGAGACCGGGTGTCAAGTCAAGGTTGGCTATTCCCAAAGACACAGCGGGGCTGGCTTTTGCTATTTCTAATAGCTCCACTGTATGCAGAAGAGACAAAAACAAGCACTCATTAATTCTACAACGTATTCCAAAAAGGCTAAGAATGACAAATTAAGCATGAACTTTATTATAAAAGCAACATAAAGGTGCTTACTTATGTTTATAAAATACCTGACAATTATTAACTCCAGTAAATGTAAAAAAAGGGCGGAGACAAAAAAAAAAAAAAAGGAAAAAGGAAAAGTTAATACCGCTCCCCCCAGTTATTAGTTAACTTACTAAAAGCTGAAGTCGAGGGGCGCCTGGGTGGCTCAGTCCTTAAGCTCCTGCCTCTGGCTCAGGTCATGTTCCCAGGGTCCTGATTCTCCCTCTCCAGCTCCCCCTGCTTGTGTTCCCTCTCTCTCTCTCTGTCAAATAAATAAATAAAATCCTTAAAAAAAAAAAAAAAAGCTTAAGGCAAGATTTGTTATAGGCGGCTCAGAGCAGCAAAACTAACCTTAAGTCGTTAATAACCATTAAAAAGGTTCTACGAAGAACTGCTTGCAGTATATTACCCACCCCCAGCCATTTAAGAGTCATAATTAATCTTTAATCCTGAGGGGTAAGAACGATGTCCATTTAAAAATAGGCTAAATGGGTTGTATTGTCCAGTTTTGCCTACTAATCAGCTAATGCCCCCCCATCACAAAGCTACAGATGTTATGCATCAAAGGAAATCAAAGAAATTAAACGACATAACCTTGGTTCCTAGCTTACTCATATACTGTAGCCTCAACATGTAAAAGAGGTGAACCTTGCGTCCCTCTTCACTACAAATGACCCATGCAACTTCAGCAAAACCCTTTGAGCAAAACGGGTTCTGCTCTGCGACCTCTTCCTGGATCTCTTCCTCCAACCGCTGCTTTCTTTCGGGTTCCGGGGCCGGCTCCGACTCCGGGACGACGCCCGACTCGAGCCGCTGGAGCAGGACCGAGAGCTTCTGAGCGGCCGCCACAAGTCGTTCATGTAGGCAAGACTTCACTGCTTCTGGCTTTTGAAAAGGGTCACCTCCCAAAACCCACATTGTCTCCTTAACAGCGGCTCCAACCTGGATGACTTTCCCGCGAACGGGATATTTAGCCTCTTGAGACATATGTGGCTGTCACAACAGCCGGAATGACCCTGGCATCCAGGGGGCAGAGGCCGGGGATGCAGATGAACACCCTACAGTGCACAACAGGACAAGCCCTCATAAACAGAATTATCTGGCCCCAAATGTCAGCAGTGCCTTTTCCCCCAACGGGAATAAAACGTCAAGTCCCAGAAGAGGGTCAGCCCGCCGGGGACTAGTAGGGCACAAAACCCGGTCGCTCACCCGGGGCCTCCCCGCCTCCTGGGAGTGACTCCACCCCTTATGGAGGCGGAGCTACGGTGAGGGCGGGGCCAGGCGCTGCGAAAATAAACAAGACTTAAAAACTTAGAGCGGGGGGCCGCGAACCCAGAACCGCTTTTTTATTTATTTATTTATTTATTTGTCAGAGAGAGAGAGAGAGCACAAACAGGGGGAGCAGCAGAGGGAGAGGGAGAAGCAGGCTCCTCACTGAGCAAGGAGCCCGATGTGGGACTCGATCCCAGGATCCTGGGATCATGACCTGAGCCGAAGGCAAACGCTTAACGACTGAGCCACCCAGGCGTCTCCCCAGAACCTCTTTTTGCACCACGCGGGACCCGACACTTTTCCTGTCACCCTGAGATAACTGAGGAGCCGACCGCAGCACTAGAAAACTTACCATCTCACACTGGACGAATACAAAGGCCCAACAGACGCCTTCCTTTGGAAGGTGCACTCAGACTATCACTCCTGAGGTGCAGCCGCGAACTGAGCGCCGTGGAAATGCCCAGCCCCCGGCACCAGGAGCACCCGCAGACTTTGGCGCGGTGGGCGTGGCTCCCTCTGGCCCTCCCTCCGCTCTTCTCCTCCCGCCTCCTCCCCCTCCGTGCTGCTCCCTCAGCCCCGCTCCCCGCATGCGCGACCGAGCTCCGGGGGCGGTGCTGTTTCATCCGGGTACCCGGTGGCCGGTGGCTGGTTTGTTTTCTTGGCTGAAAACTAGGAGAAAGTGAGGCGGCCCCGCGCTGCGCGACACCGGGCTCGGGACCGACTGCACGGGCGGGGCTGGACGTAAGTGCCAGGCAGGAGTGGGAGAGGGGGTCGCCGCCACAGGCCGAGAGGACTCGGGCCCGGGGCTGTCTGCCGGGCCGGGGCTGACGGGGTCGTTATCTCCACCTTCTGGGAGGCTGCAGGCTCGGGCTGTGTCTCCCTGGACCCTTCCCGGCCGCTTCCTCCCGGTCGGCCGCGTGCGGACCGCGCCGCACTGCCGGACAGCGCCCCTCCCCGGGACGTCCCGGGATCCGTGGAAATCATCGTGGTCTCCTCCTTGAGGGTTGGAGAAACAGCCCCCGAGAGCGAGTGTCACCCGCGGGTTCACGCGGCGGGGGGTGGGGGGTGGGGGTGGGGTGGCCGAGCTAGAACGAGTTCCCACATCCTGTCAGCTCGCGTCCGCTCCAGACCTGGAATCCCGGGTCTGGGGGCGGGCTATGTGCAGCAGGGTGCGGGTGATAAACCCAAGAAGAATGGGCTCGGATGGGTTGGGGCGGGGGCATAGAGATGAACCGAAAGTAACACACCCTGGATTGCACTTCCTTCCAGGGAAAATGAAAGGTGAATTTTCAAAACTGGGCTTGTCTCCAAAGCATATTAGCACTGGATATAATCACAGGTGTTAATATTTAATGCTTAAAAGGGATGTTACGCTTGGACTCCTTGCTCTTCTTTAGAATATCATGGTTTTGGGCAATCAGAATTGCTCCGTACAGAGGAGTAGCTTAACAGACGGATTCAGAGTCTCTGTAGGAGTTTGGGTATGTCTTGGTAATTAGCAAGTTATACCCAATTCAGGCTTTTTCAGTACTCTGAAATAGCGGTAGTCCGGATGTGTCTTAGGCCAGGTCTGCATAGCTGGGCTCCGAGGGGTGTTTTATGTAATTTGTTAGGTCGGCTGTGGTAATTCATCTATAGTAATTCAGCAGTGCATTTTTGGGGGGGGTCTGAATTAATATTAGCTTCAATTTTATGCTTTCCTTTGGAAAGGCATCTCTTACAATCAGAGACAGATATTAAAATGAAATGGGTGTTCTTTACATAGAAATAACACCAAAAATCAGGATTGGTTCTGGAAAAAATAATGAAGTGAAAGAAAGTGATGTGAGTAGAAGACCTGCAGTGCATTGTTTAATTTCTTAATCTGAGTGTGAAGAAACACATGTTCTATGATAAAATGTGTAAATTCCCAAGACAAATATTTTTTCATTTGAGTGCATGCTTTAACTGAGAGCCAAAGTTTATCTTTTTTCTCTCCTTCATGTTAGTGCTCCTGGATTGTAAATGTTAAAATCACATAATAATTTGGTTTGGAATTAAAATTAATAACCATTATGAAATTTTTCCATATTTGGATATCCACCTTTGTTCATATTTCTTAAATATACCAAAACTATCTTTTAAATTAAAAAAAAAAACTAAATGAATCCAAATTTTGTTTACCAAGGTTTTAATGTGGAGATTGATCAAAAATTAAATCAAATATTCTGAAAAAGTATATGTAGCCAAGATAAAGTATTTCACTTTTATTAAATTATTCCTGAACTGTTAATTATTTTCTAGGAACATAACTCATGTTTGAAGCAAGTAAATAGGAGTACTTTAATGGATTTGATTTTTTTGTTTTTTGTTTTTTAAGTGACTGGAGAAAAAATGTCTGGATTTCTAGAAGGCTTGCGATGCTCAGAATGCATTGACTGGGGGGAAAAGCGCAATACTATTGCTTCCATTGCTGCTGGTGTTCTAGTAAGTGTCATTGATAATTTGGGCCTTCATTATTTTGTTGTGTTTGTTTTTATGTGTTTTGAATTCTGTATGATGTTTTTAAATATGTACTATTTATCTTTGACCACTGAATTTATTTTAATAAACGTTGATGTTTTGTTTACAAGGGAGTTGAGTTACTCCATTTTAAGAGTTGACATTATGGTTTGAAAAATTATTAGTAGAGTGATTGGTTTTCTTTAAATGCATGTTAAAAATGATATATAAGATAGTATGCTTTGTATATTTATTCATTATATGGATAGTGCCTCCTTTTTGTGAGTACATTGAGATACCAGGAAGTGTTTAAGAAACAGGTCAAAACCAGTAGAGAGATATGATTGTATTTTTTCATAACCAGAGTTAGCTTTCTTCTCAATCTCATTAAAAAGCAAAACAAAAGAAAAAATCACACAGGAAGCTCATTAAAGCATATTGCCTAGAAGTAATTTATAGTATAAAATTTTTATTTACATTGCAAATCCCTCAAGGCATCTGACACTTGTGTTTTATGCTCTTATGTTGTCATATGCTCTAAATAGTGGATTTTAAATAAACAAACAAAAATCTAAGTTTAGGGGCGCCTAGCTGGCTCAGTCAGTGGACCATGTGACTCTTGATCTCTGCGTTGTCAGTTCAAGCCCCATGATGGGTGTAGAGGTTACTTAAAAATAAAATCTTAAAAAAAAAATCTAAGTTTAAATATCTCCTCTTTGCTTAGTCTCTGACATTTATAATCTATGAAAAATAATTATCCTAAAGTAATGGCAAAATATAAAACTACCATAGAGGGGCGTTTGGCTGGCTGCCTGTAGAGCGTGGGACTCTTGATCTTGGCATTGTGAGTTCAAGCCCCACATTGGGCATAGAGATTACTTAAAAATAAAATCTTAAAAATAAAAAACAAAACTACTATAGAAATTCTGCTCTTACAAACATCCCCCCCCCAAAAAAAAGCTTTAAATTTTAGTCTATGAAGAAAATATATTGAATACACTGAGGTGAGAGTTTTTAAAAAAAAAAAGAAAGAAAAGGAAGAGTACTTGTGCTAGCCAGAAAAAATGTCATTAATAGAGTATGGAACTGTCTATAACCTGATAAAAGTAATTTGATTAGCCTAAAGTAGTTATTTTTTTTTTTTTAAGATTTTTTTATTCATTTGAGACACAGAGATAGAGAGAGAGTGCATGAGCAGGGGGAGAGGCAGAGGGAGAGGGAGAGGGAGAATCAGGCTCCCCGCTGAGCCAGGAGCCCGACTGGGGCTCAATCCCAGGACCCTGAGGTCATGACCTGAGCTGAAGGCAGATGCCTAAGGACTGAGCCACCCAGGTGCCCCAGTAGTTATTTTTAAAGAATTGCCAGGGGATGCCTGGGTGGCTCAGTTGGTTAAGCGACTGCCTTCGGCTCTGGTCATGATCCTGGAGTCCTGGGATCGAGTCTCATAGGGCTCCCTGCTCAGCGGGGAGTCTGCTTCTCTCTCTGACCCTCCCCCCTCTCGTGTTCTCTCTCTCATTCTCTCTCAAATAAATAAATAAAAATCTTAAAAAAAAAAAAAAAAAAGAATTGCCAGAAGATGGCAGTTCCCAGAGCTAACTGGGTCATGGTTGGGAGTGGGGGTAGGGCAGGAGGTTACTTTTATTTATTTTTAAAGGTTTTATTTTATTTATTTGTCAGAGAGAGAGAGCGCGCACACGCACAAGCAGGGGGAGTGGCAGGCAGAGGGAGAAGCAGACTCCCCCCCTGAGAGGGGAGCCTGATGAGCGACTCAATCCCAGGACCCTGGGATCATGACCTGAGCCGAAGGCAGGCTCTTAACCCAAAAAGCCACCCAGGCATCCTCAGGGGGTTACTTTTTAAAACTGTCTAAGCTACTTACCAGAATTTGGCTAATATCTTACTCTAAGCTTGTGGTCAGCTGATATTTGTGCAGTTTTAATGTTTTTTCATTATGTATTTACCCTTGATAACATCCAAAACCAAACTCAATTAAGATAAATTATATTTGGTGTTTAAATTGAATTTAGCATCACACCTAAAACCATCTGTAGACTGCACTGTATACATCAAAAGGAAAAGCAGAACTGCAGAACCATTACTTATTTCACAACACCAAGAGAATAGCTAAAATTCTGTCAACAATAACTATTCCCACCATTATTTTGAATACTTTTTTTTTTTTTTTCATTTTCAATGATAACCTCTTTCTGGAGGTTATGTCAGCAATAAGCCACTCCTGTCAGTCAGAATCTGAATCGCTTTTTTCCTTTCTCCTGCCATGGGAAAATAGAACTTATTTCTAGTTCACAAAATAAGTTGACGGACTTTATTACAACAATATAAAATAATGATTGAAGTAGGCTTAGAAAAGAAATTCGTATTACATAGTGATTACTGGCAGACTTAAGGGTATCTAATATTTATTCACATATTAAGCCATGTTCAAATTATATATAACAAACTGCTAGAACATTTAAAAATTTTTGAAATTCATTAGAAGGGATATCTTCATTTAGAAACGTTGCTTTCTTTTTAGCTAGTAAGATACGAAATTACGGTAATTTCTCATTAGCATCACTTTTTAATGTCTGTTTTAGTTTTTTACAGGCTGGTGGATTATCATAGATGCAGCTGTCATTTATCCCACTATGGAAGACTTCAACCACTCATACCATGCCTGTGGTGTTATAGCAACCATAGCCTTCCTGATGTAAGCATTGTTGTTCATGACACTACTTAACATAGATTATCACAAAATAAAAATGTCTTCCATATAGTTTAGTAGAGTTCATATTTTTCAATGTCATCAATGTACTGGAATGGTTTAAAAGTCAGCTTGCAGAGGACTTATAAAGAAAAACAACAGTTCTCTTTTCTAGTCTCCCTTCCAGCTCTCCTCTCCCACTTCCATCCCCCAGCTCCTCTCAGCTCTCCTTTTGTTGCTACACTGCTCATGTTGCAACTTTACTTTTAGGTCAGAAA